TTCTTCTTCTTCTTCTTATTATTATTATTTCCACTTCTTCTTCTTCTTCTTCTTTCTTCTTCTTCTTCTTCCTCTTTTTCTTCTTCTTCTTCTTCTTATTATTTCCACTTCTTCTTCTTCTTCTTCTTCTTCTTCTTCTTCTTCTTGTTCTGCTTCTTCTTATTATTATGATTATTTCCACCTCTCCCTTCTTCTTCTAATTATCCTTTTTCTTTTTGAAGTACAATTCCTGAACATTTTGTTTTTATTCAGATATTTCCACGGCATCTTCCAACATCCAGCTTCTTTCGGCATCGCCGTTACCAGCCATATTATGATCGCCGCCATTTGCATTGGTACCCTACAACTCATCCTCATTCACATTATAATCAAAACAACTTCCCCCATCACCCCTAACCCATCGCAATTGCCATCATCATTACAGCAACTTCATTATCATCCCTATCATTGGTCATCACCACGAGCATTATTACAATATTCTTACTATTATCATCATTAATAACATCATCATCATCATCATAATTCAGTCAGTTATGTGCCATGCATGATACACGGTTAGGCGATCATGTATCTTTCGATACATGACTGATGAGGCAGATTTTTTCCCGCAGTATGTTGCCATTTCTTTCTACGGTGGACAAGTTGCCATCCAAAGCTATAACACCAGGTCTGTCCTGCTATTTACCCATAGCTGGAGAACGAAGAAGAGGATTCATACCTTTCCTAAGGGTCAGTCAGTCAGTTATGTGCCATGCGTGATACACGCTTAGACGATCATGTATCTTTCAATACATGACTGACCAAGCAGATTGCCATTTCTTTCTGCAGTAGACCAGTTGCCATCCAAGGCTATAGAACCCGGTCTGTCCTGCTATTTAGAAAAGGATTTATACCTTTCCCAAGGGTATTAGCACGTAAGTGAATGTAATGGATTTGACTGGAATTCGAACTCGGCCTCCGCCTCCTTAATCCGAGACGCTATCCATTACTCCACCTTGCCTCAATTACTATCATCATAATCCTTATTACCACCAACGACTATTATTGTCATAACCTTAATCATTACCAGAGTCATCAACATAATCACCACTATCACCAGCATCATCATCACTATCGTCAACATCAACACGTAATCTTCATTAACATTAACATCATGGTAATCACCATCAGCGTCATCACTAACACTATCATCACCATCACCTTAAACATAATTATTACTACAATCATCATCATTAGCATCACCATAATCATCATCCCAGGTTTAAACATTATTATCTTCTTTACAGTCTATCGTTTTTCTTCCTTCTAATCTTTCGGAAAACAACAACAACAAAAAAAAAACCCATTAAATTTACTTTTCCAATTTACTATTCTATTCAAAAATCTCTTAATGGTGATATTGGGTTGGGAATATACCGCCTATGACATTCGGTAACAATAAAGGTTTCGCCAAGTTAAAATTATACTTACCACAACCAGTATTTAGCCCCAGGCAATTTTTATGTTGCCTTCTTCCATAACGAAAGTAATGCAAGATCATAATAAGAGAATAAGAATCCATCTTGCCACCCACGAATGTCTGCATGTTTCTGGATTTATACCTGAAGACAAAATTCTTTTCATGTTTGTCCTGAACATGACTGTAGACATATTTAATGCTTTTTCCTGACATCTGTTTTAGGATACGCTTTCCTGCATAAAACAGTTCTCGACATTGTTTTCGTTTTATTGAAAAAGAAAACATGTGTGGCGGATGGGGGGGATGTTGTGTGTGTGTGTGTGTGTGTGTGTGTGTGTTTCTTTGAAAAAATATTAGCGAAGGTTTTCGTGGTTCCGAGCTTTGTTTTTTGTTTTTGTTTTCGTTTTTCCAAATTCGGAGATAATAAAACTGTCTTCTTTATCTGCGTCCGGGTGCAGCGTTGTAGCCTTTGCGCAGGCGCGGTGACTAGTTTCACGATTTTCGATTGCGTGATCCACACATTGGGTCATTTTCTTTGTTTCGTGTTCATTTGTATAATAACATGCAAAACTGATGTTTGAATCTTTCTGAACCTTGTCTACGTCGTCATCGACTGTGTTTTGTGCTTATCTTCTTCTTCTTCTTCTTCTTCTTCTTCTTTGAGTCGTGTCACTTCAGGACGTTGGCGATCATGGCTCTCCACAATTTCTTATCCTTTTTAGCTTTTAATAAATTTAGTTTTTTTTTTGTTATCTATCCTAATCGCGTTTTTGCCAACCATTTAAGTTCTTCTTCTTCTTCTTCTATGCCCCGTGTCCCTTCAAGACGTTAGCGATTATGGCTCTCCACAATTTCCTGTCCTTTGTAGCTCTTAGTAAATTTTGCCTTTTCGCTTCAAAATCCTGTTTTCAACCATTAAAGCCTTTTTCTTCTTCTTCTCTTCTTCTTCTCCTTTGTTCTGTCAACCATTAAAGTCAAGCTCATTTTGCTTCTTCTTTCTTCTTCTTCTTCTTCTTCTTCTTCTTCTTCTTCTTCTTCTTTGTTCCGTGTCCCTTCAGGACGTTGGCGATCATGGGCCTCCACAATTTTCCGTTCTTTGTAGCTCTTAGTAAATTTTGTCTTTTCGCTAACTTTTCCTAAATCATGTTCTGACAACAATTTACCCAAGGCTTCTTCTTTGTTCCGTGTCCCTTCAGGACGTTGGCGATCATGGGTCTCCACAAATTCCTGTCCTTTGTAGCTCTTAGCAAATTTTGTCCTTGTTCTGTCAACAGTTTTAGAAGTCATTTCTTCTCGCTTTTACCACATGTTTATTGTTAATCGTTAATAAGATTATTATTATATTTTCATGAGAAATAAAAAATATATGAAGATAATGATGAGCTGTCCTCTTTGGTACCTCGACGTTACGAATTTAAGCGCAGTACTAGATTGGCGGCTAGGTCCCATCATTTAACAGCTGAAATAGATAGATGTAACCGTAAGTTCTATGCTAACAGTTTCTTCTATTGTACTTCTCGTTTTTGGAACCTTCTTCCGGTTTCTTGCTTCCCACTCAACTTTGATCTTCAGAAATTTAAATTGCAATGTCAATCGTCATCTTTTGTCTTCTTAACTCTTGTTCTTTTATTGTTCTCTCTCTCCTTAATATATTTTATTTCTTTTACTAATGTTCTTCCACGTTCAGTAACACCTTACGTCTTAGTGGCTTTGGTTTGGGGTAAAATGATTAAAAAAACAAAATAAAAGAACAAAGAAAAGAAGGAAACAAATAAAAAATCACACTCAGTTCCTTAGTTGCTCACCTTAATGAGTCTGACCATAATTTCAGTTTGAAAAATGCTACATTAGATGAAATAGAAAATGTATAGGAAGTGCTTTAATCGCTAGATCATCCACAGTAAATTTACACCCAGGTTATTACAACGTTTCACCTTTCTAGGCAGATCTATTATCACAATGGGGGATATTTAATAACAAAATGGATACAAACATAAGCAAAAAGAAACTTAATGAAACCTGCCTGACTATTTACCTAAAGACTTATTACAAAACAAAAAATCAAATTGAAAAGTTTAAAATTTCAGCTGCCATTCCACTTTGCGCGCATGTGTAGTTACCTCAACGTAAACATCGCACCAGTCTGATGAAGTTCTAAGGGACGAAACACGTCACACGAAAAATTTTCCCACTTTGTCATTAATTGTTCAGATATATAAAGAAATTATATATCATTTTCTCTCATTATTGGATTGACTTGATTCTCTAGCCATGAATGGTAGCCAGTCTAGGAGAAAGACAACTCTGAATTCAAGACCGTGGAGAAGGCAAAAATTAAATAGAGAGAAATACTAGTAAAAAATCAATAATGGTTGATATTGTTTCATCTAATAATAATAAAATTCAAGATAATATTACTACTAACAACACTAAAGTAATAAAAAGCAATTGGAATTAAGATGAAAGAAATCCTAGCTAAAATGAATAAATGCTTCATCTAATAAGAATAAAAGTCAAGATAATATTATCTAATAATACTACTAATGGAATAAAAGTTGAAATTAAGATGAAAGAAAACTATCAAAAATAATAATGGCTAAATACTTCATCTAATAAGAATAAAAAAGATAATTGAAATTAATGGAAGATTCTTATCAAAAATGAATAATGGCTTAGTCAAAATGAATAATGAAGCATTGACAATTTTTTACAAGCTTCATCTAATAATAATAATAAACATTGTCAACCGTTATTCAACATTACACACACACACACACACACACACACACACACACACACACACACATGCGCACGCACACAGACACACACACACACATATACATACATATTAAATAACAATATATAAATTTTTTGTATATCAAGAACAGTATTGGGGAAAATATATTCCACTTTGTCATACGTTTTTTCGTCAATATATATGTATATAAATTATTGCACATTGAATGCTGGTGCTAAGGAAATATTGTTCGATGTATAATAAAAGAACTACTATTTATATAAATATTAAATATATTTTTTTCCTCACCTGTAGAACAACTCAGTTTACAATCTGCACCTGAAAATTCCATTGTGTACAATGATAGATTAAGATTAAAAACACGAGTCTTTGAAATGTAACAAATTAACCTCCAATATTCAATATTCCTTTTTGACTAGAATTTCTTTCATTTTAATTCTACAAATGTTTTATTACCTTAGTATTAATATTATCTTGAATTTTATTCTTATTAGATGAAGCATTGTCAGCCATTATACATTTTTGACTAGAATTTCTTTCATCTTAATTTCAATTGCTTTTTATTACATTAATAATATTAGTAGTAATATTATCTTGACTTTTATTCTTATTAGATGAAGCATTATCAAGCGTTATTCACACACACACACACACACACACACACACACACACACACACACACACACACACACACACACACACACACACACACACACACATGCGCACACAGACACACACGCACACAGACACACACGCACACAATATGAGATAATATATAAATTTTTATTTATCAAGAACAGTATTGGGTTTAGTCTTGAAAATATTGCTGGTTATTACAAAAAGAATAACATTTTCTCAGATTTTTTTTTCAATAAAAAACCTTTTCATTTTAAAAGTAAATAATTAATGTACTGAAATTTTCATTTACATTGGATAATTCCCTGATGTTTTGGCAATTTAAGAAAAAAAAAAGCGCTGCATTTCAACCACAATATTCCTTTTAGGGTTTGTGCCCCCCAGATTGGGAAACTTTGAAATCCTTATGTAGTATCAAAGATTCAGGGTCGGGGAGACCCTATCGCCGGCCCTGAATGTAATAAAATCAAGTGAAATTAAGATGAAAGAAAACAACTCGTAAAACATTATCAATAACTGATAATAATTTATTTAATAATAAAATTCCAGATAATATTACTAATAATGTCTAGTGCCATACGTGATACACGCTTGGGTGATCGTGTCTGTTTCGATTCCATGATTGACTAGGCGGAAGTTGTGATAATCTTTCACTTAGGCACTGTAAAAAAAATGATGTTCTTTGAACGGCGTAAAATCAATAAGATTAATGTAAATACGTTTATTACAATCAGGGCCTGTGCAAGGAACTCGTGTGCCCGAAGATAATCTAAAATTACCCGAATCTATGGACCTCCGAAATTTATGATACAGAGCCCTTCAATCTAATAAATCTTAATTTTCATGAGATATCATGAATATAAAATACAAATTTTATTCTAACCTAATTATGTACAATAATAGACCATATGCAATAGAAAAATTGAAAATAAATACAATTTATCTCAATACAATTCACTTGAAGCAAGTGAAATTAAGACGAAAGAAATGGTAATAAAAATAAACAATATTTGACGATGTTTCATCCAATAATAATATAATTCACTTAATTACAATTAATACTACTGATGTAATAAAAAGCAAGTGAAATTAAGATGAAAGAAAAATCTAGTAAAAAAATCTAACAATAATTGATAATACTTCATTTAATTATATTGATTGAGTGATTGTCCTGTTTTCACGGCATCTCAACTTTATCGATTACTAGCAGTAGAGCCGGGCGTTGCCCGGGGATGTAACAGTAAGAGATAGATCAAGTATCGACCATCATAAAGACTGAAAAATAAAATTGACAAAGATTATTGTTTAAGGTTGACGAACACACATGTCTTAATTAGTTTTATTTTTTATTTTTTTATTTTTTACGAATTGGTCAAACCCAAACTCAAACAAAAACATTGTTTTCAATCGTTATGAGTCTACCGATTGAATAGAATTTTATTATAAACAATAGTCTTGTAAATGGAATTTTTAAAGCATTCTGAATGTAAAAATAAAGAAAAAAAGTGTGCAAGACAATAAGAAAAACTACCTGCCAAAAAAAAAGTGAATTTTTGTTGAAATCGGTTGAAAAATGTAGGAAATCCGATCCCATATATAAAACACACACACACACACACACACACACACACACACACACACACACACACACACACACACACAAACAACCAACTTTGGTTTTTAATAAGTATAACTCGATATGAGTTGTCCCCCTTTCATTAATGCCTCTTAATCGTGTTTTCAAATTGATTTTGTGCAAAAACAATTGTGTTTTTCCAATTTTTGGCGCTGTCAGAACCACCGCAAGGTAATTTTACGTAGTTCTGGGAAGTTTTGTTGAAATCGGTTGAAAAATGAAGGAAATACGATCCCATATATAAACGTACAGACACACTCACACAATCTGCGTTTTATAATAAGTAAGATTAATGCCGACAGAAGAAATGGCTTCATCACGCTAACGCTACTCGCTGGTATCCAAATGTTGAGCTTCTCAATCTCTCAATCAAACTTTAGAGATCTCTACACGGTTCCCTAGTAATTCTGACGAATCTCCTTCTCTTCCTTACATCCTCATCGGATGCATGTCATGCTCTGCAGCTCTGTCCTCATGGCAAACTCCGATCACGCAGTAATGTCTTTAGATAACTCTTTCCGCTCACCTATTAGCTAAGACCCACCCCTCAATTAACAGATCATCTTTCTGTTATCAATGAAGTAGTTGAGATTCATCTTGTGATTTTTTTCGCGATGACCCTTGGAATGATATTTTTTAATCATGTCGTTGGGAAATGTGCCACTGAGGTCTTTTTCTAGATGAAAGCCGACATTGAAGATTCCGTGTCAGCACGCAAATACCAAGTGAAACCACGATCATCTCCTTGGATCTCATCTGTCTGCTGAGCCGCTATACCCCACAGGAGTCACTTCTTTCGACTATTGTGACAGGTTTTTATTGAAACAGACCTCTCTCTGTCATTGCTAGGAATGAGTGAAATCGTATCCTCAAAGACACTGATAAAACGAGAAGCCGTAGAGTCTCTGAAAAGTTTGGTTCTAGAGATTACTGGTGGCTCTGCAAGTGTGTGTTGAACAAAAGCAAATCCCCAGTCCCTCCAATCTATTTGAAGTATTGACATCTGCAGAT